CCTTCCTTCCTTCCTTCCTTCCTTCCTTCCTTCCTTCCTTCCTTCCTTCCTTCCACCCACCCACCCAAAAACCGTGCCCGATGCTCAGCATTTTCAGAAACGAGACAGCCACCCTGCAGTGGGCACTCACCGAAATCTTGGTGAAGATGTAGAGGATGAGCGACAGCACAGACATGTACACCTGGATCCTCTGGCCCCCGAAGCGCTTCTGCAGGTACTGCGGCATCGTGACCACACCAGCCGCGATGTACACGGGGACGAAGATCCAGCCGAGGGCGAGCAGCAGCCAGGTGGCCTGGGGGAGTGGGGAGAAAATGGTGTCCATGCCCTGGATGCAAATGGAGGGGTGTCCCCTACTGAGAGGTGATGCCATGCAGAGGACAGCCCTGAGCAGGAGGGACCTGGGACCTGATCTCAGTCCTGTGTGACCTCTGAAGGTCCCTCTGTCTCCTCCAGGCCTTGGTTTCATCATCTGCCATCTATAAAATGGGCTCTCTATTCACCATGCAGCCTCCCCAAGCACATCTGAGGCTCATCTCAGGGCTAAGGCCAGGGTGGGCTCAGACCCCGTGTCCCCGGGAGGCCTCCAGGCCAGCTCCCTTACGTTCCATTCGAAGCCACCCACAGCAAGGCCTCCGGCAGCTCCTGTCCCAGCCAGGCCGATGAACAGGCCGCTGCCCACATTGCTGGACATCAGAGATGCTCCGATCTGCAAGGCACAAGCGGGGTCAAGGATCAGGGGTCACTTTTCATCTGAGTCAATCTGGAGTCAGGACCATGAGCTTCAGAGCTGGGATGAGGCAGCGAGCACAGGACCTGGACTCAGGAATCTGAGGTCAGAGGGAGGAGAGGGAGGAGGGGCAGCAAAGAGAAAGAGGGATGGAATCGACAGCTATTGGGTGCCTACTGTATGCCAGGCACTGTGCTAGGCATTTTATATATTTTATGTGTGCTAATACACTTGATCTACACAAAGATTTGGAGAGATGAGTATTAACCTTTCTAACTTAAAAAGAAGGGAATTAATATTAAGAAAAATAAAGACACTGGCTCCAGGTCACACAGGAAGTGAGAGGGAAAGAAGGGAAGCCACTGGGAGCAGGGTCTGCGTAGGGACAATACTGTGCTGATCCAGGCCATAGATCTAAAGACTCCCAGAGAGTAGGATGTGGTAACTGAAAATGGAGGAGGGGAGAAACCAGCAGGGTGGCCTGATGGGTGAGTCTGGGTCCCAAAGGTCTCAGGATCAGCTCCTGCAGGTCATTGGGGATTTTAGGGCTATAATTTCCCTCATTTAACCGCTCTTCAGTATTAAGCTGATGTGTCACCTTCCCAGGAAAATCTTTGCTGATCCCACGCCCACTGTCCGGAGGTCGGGGCTTTCTGCAAACGCTCACAGGCCCCTCTGCTCCCCTCCAGCTCAGCAGTGGTCATGCTGGCTGTGAGTCTGTCTGCCCAGCTCCACTCAGCTCTCTAGGACAGGACCATCTGGACCATCTCCATAGGTCCAGCCTGCGGCTCAGTAGAGGGCACTCAGTGGATGCTTGTCCAAGAGGTCGCTCAGGTGGCAGGTGGCTTCGGACTGGAGAGAAGGAGCCCAGAGCCAGGAAACCCACTTGGGGACTGTTCCCTTGGTCCAGGTGGGAGTAGATGAGACAGAGACTTGGATGTGGGAGAAGGGGAGGGAGGGAGGTCAACTCACCGGCCACCAGGTCATGGACTTCCCAGCCAGGAAATAGCCACCAATGGTCCCTCGGCTTGCACGGATGGATGACTGGAAAGGAAGTGGCCAGAGGTAAGAGTTTCCCAAGATTCCCCAGCCTCTGCCCTCACCCAGACTCCCCGCCCCTCAGTCCAGGCACTGTGGACGCAGAGGGTAGAACTGAGGCAGGTGCTTCACCCTCTTTATCTACACGTCACGGAGGTGGCCCCCTCCTCTCTCTGAGCCTCGCTCCTTGTCACCTCCTCTCCCCAGGCCTCACTGCTTGTCTCCCAGAACTGCCGTGAAGAACTGAGGAGCCAGTGGAGGCACGAAGCCCCCACAATGGAGCAGGGCTGTGCAAGTGTGCCAGGGTATTGCGATTGTGCGCTGCCATCCCCACCCTCCCCTCCCTCCTTCCCTCCGAGCTCCCTTTCAGGAAACGAGCTGGTTTCTCAGCCTCAGGGGTCCGGGAGCTGCAGGGAGACCACCTGTCCCCTCCTCCCTGCAGGACTCCTCACGGGGGCTGCACTCTGACAGTGGACGTTGGGTCCCAGCAGAGATATGACTGTTTGCAGGCCCTGACGTCAGAACACCCCGAGTAGGCCCATCAGGACCCAGAACAAACCCCAGTCCAGCACTAGGAGGAGTCAGCAGCGGCTTCTCGGGGTTGCTCTGAGGATAGAGGGGAGTGGCAGGGGTTTCTCGGGGGGGCCGGGTGAGGGCAGGGCAGCAGGGGGTGAAGGGTAAACGCAGAGCTGGTACTAAGATGCTAAGAGGTAGGAGAAGTACCTGAAGGAGAGGGAGGAAAAGGGAAATGTAAAGAGGCTTCTCTTCCCCGAGGGGAAGTGATTGATTAGTCACCTGGCAGCTATCGGGGTGTGCGGGCCGGTGCTTGTTAAATCTTTCCTTGACTCTCCAGTGTCACCTCTAGTCTTCAGGAGGTCAGATGAGCAGAAAGAATTAATTTTATATTTGAGGAAATTGAGGCCCCAAGTTGGGGAGCAACCTGTCCAGCCACCAAGGAGTTGGTGCCTCCCCAGAGCCAGGGACCATCTGTCTGTCCGTTTCTCCCTCACACCAGCCCTGGGAGGCAGGGACCGTTCACCGCACTGTACAGATGAGGAAACCAAGGCCCAGAGAGGGTTCCTGCCCTGCCGCAGCCTCGTAAGTGACCATCTGGGACTCTAGTCACTGTCTGCCTCCCGGCAGAGTCTAAAGGTGCTGGCATTTCTCTCAGATACTTCCTCCATAACAGCAGCCACTCATTGCTGCCCCTCTGTGCCGGGCTCTGTGCCAGATGCGTAAATGAGTCATGTCGCAGTGTGGTCATGACGGCTCTGCACTGTGGTCCTTACTCTTATTGTCCAGGTGAGAAACTGAGGCTCAAAGAAGCTTCCCATGTTGGAGTCGGGATCTAAGCTCGGGGCTCGCTGACCTCAAAGCCTGGCCCCATCCATGGCACTGAGGCTTCAGGGAACAGTGGAGAACAAATTACCATGGGACCCACCTGGCTCCCTTCCCCTGGACACAGGAGCCCAACTCCGTGAGAAAGCTCTGCTCCTTGCGAAGGCGCTGACTAGCGGAGTGAGGGGTAAGCCAGGAGTCAAGCATCCGCCGAGTTGGGGTCTGGGCATGGGCAAGGGGGAAGGAATGGGGCTGGGGTGGCCGGGATGGGTGGGGCCAAAGGCAGCAGGTGCTCAGAGACGGGGAGTCAGGAGATGGGCTCAGGCCTGGCTGCCTCTGGCTGGCTCTGTGACCTCAGGCAGGTCACAGCCCTCTCTGGGTTTCACTCTGCCCGTCTACGAAAGGAGGGGCAGGGAGGTCCTGACCCTCCTTCCTTCTGCCCAGCCCAGCCCCCAGCTCCATGGCCAGCTCTGCCTCCCCTGCCGGGCCCAGCCTCCAGAACTACTTACCCAGATCCCCACGCCCACGACGAAGGCAAAGTAGATGACCAGGACNAGGTCCTGACCCTCCTTCCTTCTGCCCAGCCCAGCCCCCAGCTCCATGGCCAGCTCTGCCTCCCCTGCCGGGCGCAGCCTCCAGAACCTTACCCAGATCCCCACGCCCACGACGAAGGCAAAGTAGATGACCAGGACCCCGATGTCGTAGGCGTGCAGGCTGACTCCGGAGCCCAGTGTAGAGCGTGGGGCTGTCACAGTCCCGGCTCCACTTCCGGGAGCTCGGGGCTCCATCGCTCCAGCTCCACGCTCCTCTGTGAGCCGCTCACCGCCAGCCTGGACTTTGAGGTGCTTCTGGCTTCAGTCCTTCCCTTTAATGATTAAACAGCCAAGTGCCATCAGCTGCTGAGAAAGTTCTGAGCCCTACAGCCATGTAACATACTGGCTACCCCTTCCCCTAAGGGCACCCTCATCTCTGCAGGGCTCTCTCCCTCTCCCTGCCCTACCACACACACACACACACACACACACACACACACACACACNCCCCGATGTCGTAGGCGTGCAGGCTGACTCCGGAGCCCAGTGTAGAGCGTGGGGCTGTCACAGTCCCGGCTCCACTTCCGGGAGCTCGGGGCTCCATCGCTCCAGCTCCACGCTCCTCTGTGAGCCGCTCACCGCCAGCCTGGACTTTGAGGTGCTTCTGGCTTCAGTCCTTCCCTTTAATGATTAAACAGCCAAGTGCCATCAGCTGCTGAGAAAGTTCTGAGCCCTACAGCCATGTAACATCCTGGCTACCCCTTCCCCTAAGGGCACCCTCATCTCTGCANCTCTGAGCCCCACAGGCATGTAACATCCTGGCTACCCCTTCCCCTAAGGGCACCCTCATCTCTGCAGGGCTCTCTCCCTCTCCCTGCCCTACCACACACACACACACACACACACACACACCAGGGGAGGAAGAAGAGGAGGAGGAGGGTGACATTGTCGGGAGCAGAGTCCCAGAATCTTGTGGCTGGGAGACCTTCAGAGGTCAAGGTGTTCAAGCTCTTGCCTGTGTGGAGAGNAGAAGAGGAGAAGGAGAGTGACCACATTGTCAGGAGCAGAGTCCCAGAATCTTGTGGCTGGGAGACCTTCAGAGGTCAAGGTGTTCAAGCTCTTGCCTGTGTGGAGAGGAAACTGAAGCCCAGGGAGGGGAGGGTCACACAGGGAAGTAAAGGCAGAGCTGGACCTTGATCCAGGCTTCTTGGCAGTCACTTCCATGGAGGAAAGCAGAGAGGAGGGAGCCTGCTGCTACCCTGCAAAGCACCCACCCCTCACATGCTCCCACCTCCAGCCCACCAGGTGTCATCCTTCCCTTTGTTCCAGTGCAGGACACTGAAGCCCAGGAGGAGATGTGTTTACTCTGAGTCACAGAGTGGGGCCAGATCTCACATCTCCTTGGTCCACAGTCCTACCTGAGCTGTGACAAACAAGCACTCCTGAAAAGAACATAGAGCACCCTGCATCCAGGGAAGACCCTCTGCCCCGCGACCCAGGCAGCCTGCTGTCTAGTCCCAGCTGCGCGTCTCAGTGACCTGCAGGGTGATCATGGGCCTGTGGCTAAGCACCTCTGAGCTTGGTGTCCTTGGTCAGTGCGGCCTGTGCCCTGCCTGCCTCTCAGTGCCAGTGAGTGACTTCCTCCTATTCCCCCTGCCCCAGGAAGGGCCCAGCCTGGCCCTCGGGGTTCTACTATCCATGTGCCCTGTCCCCCAACCCCATCCTNGTGGGTCCTGTGGCTGAGCACCTCTGAGCTTGGTGTCCTCGGTCAGCGCGGTCTATGCCCTGCCTGCCTCTCAGTGCCAGTGAGTGACTTCCTCCTACTCCCCCCGCCCCAGGAAGGGCCCAGCGTGGCCCTCGGGGTTCTACTATCCATGTGCCCTGTCCCCCAACCCCATCCTCACAGGTGCCTGGGGCTAAGCCCCACCCCNTCACAGGTGCCTGGGGCTAAGCCCCACCCCTGCACAGTTTACCTCACCCTAGACCAGCTTTGGGCCCACAGCAGCCACATCCATCTGTTAGCTTACCAGGCAATTTAGCATCCAGAGCCCAGAAAGTGCCAGGAGGGAGCCGACAAGGCCTTGCCATTGTTGGAATAGATATTGTGAAGCCCAAGCCTTTGCCATCTCACCAAGGCCGGAGCCCCGACTCAGGGCCTGTCTGTTGCTGCTTCAGCCCACACAAAACTAGCACCCAGCCAGCAGCAGGAAGGAGCCTGCCAGAGGTGGGCAGGGCTGAGCAGGGACAGGAGAACAGCTATGAGAGCCAACAGTGCACGCAAAACGTCATTAAAGCAGGTAAAGAAAGAATGATGCCAAAGACAGGCCAAGAGGGGTGAACAGACCTATGAACTAAGCTCCACCAATCTCAGCAAAGGGCATTCTTGGACAGCAGCTGAGGACTCGAATGCATTGAGCCCGAGTCACTGAGGAAACGTAACAGTATGGCCACCAGGGACTTCCTATTGAGAAGGCACACACTGTGAAATCCAGGAGCAAGCGTTTCATTCAAACGCTCTAACATTTTAGGCAGGTGTTGGCACTCAGGAATGAGGCCTCATTTATCCAGAAGATCCTCTCAGAGAGCTCCCGAGACCAAAGGGACCACGTCATTCCTACCTTGGGTGGGCACCTGTGGTGCACCTGCGCTGTGAGGCAGGGACTCTGACAGGCCCACTGGGGCCCAGCCCGGGGGAAGCCAGGCGGCCACGCGGGACAGGCGCCTGCAGCACATTCACCCACCCTGTCCTCAGCGGAGGAGCTCAGAGGAGGAAGCAACAAAGTCCACGTGAGGAGGTGGGGCAGGGCTTAGAGGGAAGGAGTGTCATCTGAGCCAGGCCTTAAGAAAGGGCACAACAGAGGTTTCTGCCAAGATGCAACGCACATAAAGTGCAGAATGAGGGCAGATCTGCACAGGAAATGCTGAGAGCTGGGCTGACAGTTCTAGAGGCTCGATAAAGAGGGTATCAAAGGATTTTGTGAACATTTCTTTGGATAAATTCTTGCTGTGTTTTTCCAAAAATAAAAGGGCAAGTGTGAGGGCTGGTTGCCCAAGAGAGTTTTGGGGAGAGGGGCTTTGAGAGCTTGGTGAGCATCCCCCTCAGTTGGGGTCACTGAGGACCGGGGCTGCCTCAGCCTGAAGTGTGGAGGGGATAGGAGCCGGGGCTGACTCGCTGCTTCCACTGTGGGTGGACGGGAGTTGTTGGTTTGGGATTGGGCTGCACCCTGGGGTTGGACAAAGAATGTGTGGATGTTTTATTGGGGGAGGGGAAGTGTGGACTAGATGTGGGCCACATGCATGGAAAAGACAGTGTGGGGATCTTCTTAGATCCTGCCCAATGAGCTATCAAGAAGGGGCTGGGGCCTCAGTGGGCAGAACCTGACAGTGAACTGCTGGATTCGTGGCGGCTGTGCAAG